AGCCAAGATGTCCATCAACAGATGAATGGATAAAGAAGAAGTGGTATATATATACAATGGAATATTATGCAGCCATCAAAAAAAAAAAAAAGAAATCTTGCCATTTGAAATGATGTGGATGGAACTAGAGGGTATTATGTTAAGCGAAATAAGTCAATCAGAGAAAGACAAATATCATATGATCTCACTGATATGAAGAATTTTTAATCTCAGGAAACAAACTGAGTGTTTTAGGAGTTGGGGGGGTGGGAGGGATGGGGTGGCTGGGTGATAGATATGCGGGAGGGTATGTGGTATGGTGAGCTCTGTGAATTGTGTAAGACTGTTGAATCACAGACCTGTACCTCTGAAACATATATTATATTATATGTTAAAAAAAAAGAAGCTAGTAGGAAAGGAAAAATGAAGGGGGGGAATCGGAGGGGGAGATGAATCATGAGAGATGATGGACTCTGAGAAACAAACTGAGGGTGCTAGAGGGGAGGAGGGTGGGGGGATGGGTTAGCCTGGTGACGGATATTCAAGAGAGCAGGTATTGAATGTAGCCCTGGGTGTTATACACAAAGAATGAATCATGGTATACTACATCAAATACTAATGATGTAATGCATGGTGATTAACATAACATAATAAAATTTAAAAAAAGAAAATTGAAAGAGATAAAATCTTTCAATCCAAGATAATTTTCAGATTACCCACAATGCATAACAATTACACTGACAGTTAACTTTAAACACCAGAAGGTAATTACATATATTTAGTTTGTTAAAGGGAAGAAAATCTAGTTTCCTTCAGTTTTATATTCAGCTAAATTATCTGACAAGTAAAATAAAGACATTTTCAAGGAGTTGAGGCTTACTTGGGGATATTTGCGAAAAGTATTATAAATAAGGAAGATATGATATGCAAGAAGTAAAGGTGAAAACAAAGTATTTTTAAACATGTTGATAAATATGAGTAAACTGAGATTGTTAAAGTATTGACCAAGTTTAAAGTAAGAGAGAAGTAAAATATTAGATGATACTAACAAAAATATTGTAAGGAGAGAGGACATAAATAAATAATTTTTCATGCCTCATTTTTGAATTGTACAATGATATTGACTGGATTTTGAGAAGTCAAGACGCCTGTTAAAAATTATGATAAAATACTAAGATAAGGAAGAGAATACAATTTTCATACTAAGAGAAGCGAAAGAGTGATTAAAGAAAAATGGACCAATCAACAAAAGGAGAGGAGAGATAGAATTAAAGTAAAGGAACGGCAAAAGACAGAGATAATGAACAGAATATCTCATCAGAAATAAGCTTAAATACATTAATAAAAACAATGCACAGAATTAAGTAGCCTTTTGAAAGACATAAGATTGAATTAAAAAATTCAGCTATGTGCTATTTATGTTTATTTAAAACATTATGATATGGGGAGGTGGAAGCTAGATGGGTAAACACATAACAGCAAAGTTGTCTAAACAAAATAAAGGTGCTATATATATCCAGATTAATATCAACCAAAATAAATTTGAAAAAGGTATAATTGCATATCATTAGATCATAAGTGATAAAAGCAACAATTCACTGGGAGATAAGATTCACAAACCTTTGTATACCTAACAAAGTAGCTGTCTGAAAATAAAAGAAAATTAAGAGGATTACCAGGATTAATCGACAGAAAGTCAATTATAGGGAGAAATTGCAGTACTCTTCTCTTAGAAAGAATAAGAACAAAAATTAATAGGAACAACATAGGAAGGCTGGTTTTATATGTAACACATATATCCACTACATAAAAAGCTACACTATGCTATGTTTTCAAGTAACTATAGAATGTTTATCAAAATTGATCACATATAAAGAAACAAAAATCTCAACTCATAGTAAAGAACCAACTTCATAAAGACCACTTTTCTTTTAACATAATTTAATAAAATTAGAAATCAACCATTTATTGATGTTTGGAGATTCTTTAGGTTTCTCAGGAGGAGAGTAAAGTGATTACAGTACCTAGAAATAATAATCAAAATAATTTTTTAATAAATGATTGAATTCAAAGAGGAGGGAAAGCATTCTAATTGGAGAACGAATGAGTAAAGGCACAGAATGGAAATCAATTATGATTGGGTTTGGGAAAGAGGGTAGATCATATTTGTTGGAATAGAGGTTTTACCTATGAGTATAAGAGGAAAAGATTGCAAACAACTGGAAGGCTATGACTTTGGCTTTTAATTTATAATCTTCGAGTGCCACTAGATGTTGAGCAAGATAGTCACAATACTAAAGAGGTTTCTAAACCAACCATGTTTTTCTTAATGTTGAGGTTCTAGATTGTGGGAATTTTGGCCATTTAAAAAAAATGAAACTGTGGCAAATATTAGTACAATAGTTACAATAGATTACAAACAAGCCTTATAATTACATTCTGCTTATAGTTTTTCACTATATTCCTTCTTATGTGGAAGATATTTTAAATTTATGGGCATAGATGATAACTTATTCATCTTTATATTTCTGGTACCTAGCCACAGGGCCTAATTCTTAGAAAGCACTTAATAAATGCTTGCTGCGATGAATTGCCTTTAATAAATCAAATGTGTTTATTGGCACATTTTCAAGAGAAAAAGGCTAGTTAAATTCTACTTAAGCAAACCTTTGTGTTTTTACATATGATTGCTACTTGGTTTGCATCAAATTGACAATGTGATATGTATATTGAATCATGAAGACTTGTTTTGAATTTTTGAAGGAACATCATGATTCATGAGCAAACAACTTTTATCAGTGTAGTGAAGAAGATAGGAACAAAGGGGGAAGTAACCAGGAAAAGGAATGGGGCATTTTAAACTTATGGGTGTGATGTGCTGCTGTTGGTGTTAAATCACTCTAAAGAGTGAAAATTGGTGAATTCTCTTGCACTGTCTAGTCAGAAGATAGATATCATGTACACATTTTGTAACTTTTGATATTTTAGGAGTCAGTTTTAGAACAAAAATATTTTTCGCCACATTTGCTTTATTTCTCTGTGTGTAATATGTGTATGCAACTATTTTTCTCCTCCTCCTCCTCTTCTCCCTCTTTTTCTTTTGTCTGAATTCTCCATCACATGGAGGCTGAGACAAATGCCATGTTGTACTAGTCTATCCTTTTACAAGACTGCCTCCATGAAGGAAGGGACTGTGTCTGTCATATCATTCCAAGGAGTTGGGAAGAGTTAAATTATAGTTTATTATAAAAAGGGTATAACTCAGGAACAGCCAGATGGAAAAGATGCATAGGGCAAGGTATGTGGCGAGCTTCTATGCTTTCTGAGTGTGACACTACCTAAATCTCTATGTGTTTACCAGCTCAGAAGCTCCTGGAACAAATTTTAAGGAAACTAATTCATCTTTGGAAAAGGTGAAATTCCATTATTGCTGGCATGTTCCTTTGCAAGTAGGCTTATTTGGGTTCAAGGTTAGATGATTTTAGAATTGTGTTTAAAGTAATTCATTTAATACTAAATAAGACTTTTGAATTTGTGCACTTAAAAAAACAAACAAACAAACATGTTTTCTGATGTTCATTGCATGTTCCTGGCTGAGGAACACTGAGTAGTTGTGGCAGTCTATATTTACAGGAATATCTAGGATGTAGTTTCTTATGCTTTGCATTGCTGGCCTTTCAAAAGCAATATAGTTTTTCATAAAGCTAATCTCTTCAAAAATAGCAACTTGAAGTTCTCATTGACTAACTGGTAGTTCTTAAAATTAGGCTTTTCAGGGGGCGAAGAAGAACAGATTGTGTCTATCTATCCTGTCTTCTCTTCTGCTCCACTCTAAAAGAATGGATATGAAATTTGGCCATTATGTGCCTCTTTATCCCTTGTGATGAAAACTGCTGAATAAGGATGGTTTCTCCATCTCTTTAACTTAACATGCTTTAGTTTTTACATATATGAAAAGATGAGTTATTACTCTTCAGTGTTGGCACATTTTTAAATTAGTAGGACAAATGTTTATTTGGAAGCCATTTGCTTTGTAAAACAAACAAATTATAAAAGAAATAAATGAAATCCTCTCAATGGGCTTTTTCCTCTATTAAGGGTGTTATTGATGGGTGACATATAGTAAGTGTTTAATAAATACCTATTGAGTGATGAATGTATGTTGTGGGAAATTTTTTATGTTTAATATTTTTATAGTACTAAGCATACTCATGTGAACATCTATATTCCTCCTCACACATGATTATTCAGTATTTTTAAAGGGAAAAAATACTCTGGTAAGACAAAAAAAATTCTGTTGAAACTTCTGACATATATTTATGTGTCAGTAGCTTTGCATTTATTGCTAAAGATAACCCCCAAAAAACACATTACTGATGTCTGAACTTTCTGGATGATAATCTTCACTACTGTGCTCAATGGATATTCCATTTCAACTGATAAACAGCATTTTTCTAGTATCTCCAAAATGGTCCAGTTCAGTTAAGAGGGCCTAACCTCCAACAACTGGGTAAATGGGTGTGCTTATTTAATGCCATGTTGTATAATTGTCCTCGGCTGTGAGCTATGTTGCCTTGAATATGAATATTTCCCTACTCTTCAACAAAATATAAGTGCATACTGAATGACTCACAGAAAAGAGGTGAAAAGCTTACATATCACCAACTGATGATTCCACTTTTTTAAAAAATAGGAATTCAGAGGTATAACAATGTGCTGAAGTATGTTTCATATTGGAGAGATGGCTTCAGTGTTCAAATTCATGCTGCCTTGGAAAGCTGGACATTTAAATCTCCTTCTTTTCTATCATGTCTTGACTTGAAACCTGTGTTTAGGATACAATCTCAGAAATAGGAAGGGGCTACTAGGATTTAAATTAAAATGATCTGAATTATTAAGACAATTTAGAAATCAACAAGTTGATGTAAATAAAACATATTTATAAGGTACTATATTTTCATTCCTGGTGTTTTCAATATGATTAGGATTAAATAATATGTATGTAAAATGTGTATTTCCAGCCACTCATTGGATTTGGAAGATGATACTCGACTTAACTTGTTTGATGATGGGACACTCATGATACGAAACACTCGTGAGTCAGACCAAGGTGAATATCAGTGTATGGCCAGAAACTCAGCTGGGGAGGTCAAGACACAGAATGCCATGCTCAGATACTCCAGTCCTCCAGGTACAACTTCCCCCCCCACCCCGACTGAACTTAATGTAAATGCATCAGTTCTCCATAGTTATTTGCACTAGAAAATGACTTCATATTGCTTCTTTAAGGTATGGAATGCTTAAAAGTGAAACAGTTGCCATTGTCTATCACTTCCTAATTTTTTACTAAAACTTGAGGTTTTTTTCTCCTGAAGTTTATTTTAATTTCTTGCCTTAGTTCTATTCTTTTCTAGTCACAATAGGTGCTGTCCCAAGGCTGTCATTGTCTTTTTGATTACCCATCCAGCTTCCTCAGAAGATGACCCAGCATCCTCAGAGGGAATCAGTGGTACCTAGGCAGGATTATCAACCTTTCTAACAAATAATTTAATTATTCATTCATAATTAATTCACTCAACACATTTATTGAATGTGCACTGAGCTAGCCATTGAAGATGGTATAGTTAACAACCTATGCTCCTTTAACTTTCCAGGAGCTTTGCTTTGCCATAATTTCAGTGGCTTAACAGACACAATAGCTATGACAGATTTTTTAGTAATATCATTATCAGGAAGGTGATGGAAATAGTGAGACACTATGTCTTACTTTACTGAGTCTATAGTCTATTAGATGATAGCCATAATTCAACAAAATGGTAAGTTTTATGATGGATAAGGAAAGGGGATAGAAGCAGAAAGGATAGTTGTGTGCTGGTAAATGTTTGTTTATTTATTTATTTATTTTTAAAAGATTTATTTATTTATTTTAGAGAGAGAGAGCACACCTATGCACAGGGATGGAAGGGGCAGAGGAAGAGGAAGTGAGAGGGTCTCACGTAGACTCCCTGCTGAGCACATGATCCAACATGCGGGGGCTTGATCTCATAACCCTGAGATCATGACCTGAGCTGAAATCAAGAGTTGGACACTTAACTGTGAGCCAATCCAGATATCCCACTGGTAAATGTTTAAAAACTGGCTCTGGGGGTGAGGGCAAAGCCCCAATTTGCAGTATTTGCCAATGATTGACATGACATCACTGAATTTGGAGTTAGGAAGAGATGTGTAGTAGTACACCATTGCATAGTATTTCCACCATGCAGACACAATAATCTCAAGACCTTAGATCATAGTAAAATGCAAAATAATTAGAAGTGGTAAATGTCAGAATTTATCTTTGATATTAATGAGATTTATTTAGTTGTAAGTTTATGTAATTTAATTTTTAATAGTGGCTATGCTTAACTGTCAGTTTGAAAAATTCCAAAAATTTGATAACTGGCTTTCCAGAGCCAGCTCCAACAGACCCCTGACAGAGGAGGAGCACTTAGATCAGACTTGGAGATCTGTGTTCATTCATGGAAGGATTTTCCAGGACCAGTGACATCTAAGCTGAAAGCAAGAAGTAGAAAACAGCCAGATAAATAGGATTGAAACCTTATCTTAGTAGAAAGGGCAGGAAAGGTAGAGAGCAGCGCACATTCAAGACATGAAGTTCTGGATGTCTGGATGATACAGATGAAGGGTTGGGAATTACATGAGATTTGATGAATTGTAAGGCAGAGTTGAACATTCATGACTGTACTCTAAGTGTTTCAAAATTAGATTTCTCTGTTACAAAGATCTCCCAAGCAGCAGTTTGGAGGACAAGCAGGAGGACAGAGTAAGGTGAGGAGGTCAGCGACTGTGGTGACGATGCAGAGGAGAGTAGTGACATTGGCAGTGATGGAGGGAGTAGAGAAAACATCCCTGAATGAAGCGTTATTCCAGGAGAAATAATACATTTCAATCAGAGATTGACTGAATATGGGAATTCCTTACAGAGTTCGTCAGTAATTTCTGATTGGCAAACCCACTAGCTCCTTCCAAAGTGTCATTCACTTTGCCCTCCAGGTCAAGCCTGACACTGCACACTGGAGTATTCCTACTTTGACTTCTGGGCACCACTTCCTCCTGATCCTTTCTGAAGGTCCTCTCCTTCTTTCCCAAGGCCTTCAGCCTGCCTCAACTGTGCCATTACTCACACCCTCCCCACCTGCTTTTTGTCCATTCTGCCTGCCCTAACCACATTTCTTCTTCCTCCATTGAGCTCTCCTTGAGTTTTAAAGCAATTCCCAAACATCCAACTTGAGTAATTAATGTACACTTCAAAGATTTTATTGCTGGTATCTTTCCTGAGATTTAGATTGATCTCACTACTGTCTTATTGTTCATTTTTAGTATATGTGCTGCCGAAGTGAGCACTATTGTTCATTTTCAAATGTGAATGTTTTATGTTCCTCAAGCACATTCACCTGCACTCCATCTTATGTTTTCCATCACTGTTGATATTATTATCTTCCCAAAACTTCAGATTCAGCCTCCATTGCTATCTTGTCTTCATCAAGTCTCTAGAAATTTGGTTCCAAGATGTATCAGATTGTCTTCCTTTTCATTTCCACTGCCATTGATTCACTTCAAAAACCTTTCATGCCTCAATTATTATAATAGTTCTTTCCATTTCTCTATAGCACTTTATACCTTACTGTAATATAATGATTTCCAAAGTATGTTGTAGTTCTTCAGATTATGTGGTTTGTCTTCTATCCTTGTAGCTAAAGCATAAGCTTATGAAGAAAGGAGTATCCTGTGCATCTTTGTATCTTCCCAACATCTAGCATTTTATCTAACTTAAGGCATTCAATATTGTTAAAATTAAAGTAAATCTTGCTTGTTGAATTAGATTAAATAAATTTCTCTCTACTCTTAATGGTATATTCATCTCAGAAATTAAGGAGCCCCCCAAAATTAGACCCAGTAACTAAGCATGTTTAACATCCTCATAAGTATTTAATTTCTGCTTGAGATTTCCAGAAAAGATGAAACTCTTATGAATCAGTGAGTGGAACACTCCATATGGAAGTCTAAATTTTGTATTTACAAGGATACTTAGCAAGTCAATTTGTATTATATTTGGCTGAAAGTGACACAAAATTTGATGAGAAATGGCTTAAACACAGTGTGTGTGTGTGTGTGTGTGTGTGTGTGTGTGAACGTGTGCACATGTGCACCTGGGAATGTGGTTTATTCGTATGCCACAAGCAGTGCAGGAGTCTGGACAGAGCTGCCACATTAGCCCAATACTCCAATGATATCTTTCTATTCTTCAGTCCTTTGCATTGAGACCTTTTTCTCCATTTCATAATTGTCACCTCGTGGCCCAAGTTGGCTCTTGTAACCCAAACTCATGCCTGAGTGCCAGGTAGCAAACAGGAGTAAAGGCAATGACTAGTTAAACTGTTCTTTTATATGGGAAGAAAACTCTTTCAGGGACGTGTGCCTACATCTCACTGGTAGAACTGTGTCACATGGATACCCTTAACTGCAAGAGAGTCTGAGAAGGCTAATTTGAACAGTTAGCCCCTAAAATAAAAAATAGGTGGGCACTAGCAGTGTCTGTGATGATGGCATCAAGGGAAGCAATCTACTAAAAAAATTGCACATTTATATCAATCTAGATTTAAGACCCAAATGTTTTAGATTTAACTATTTGAGAATTTAATGTATGTATATAATATTTTAGTATAAAGGAATTTTGAAATTGACAAAAATTTTAAGAACCACAGTGTAGAGGGGTGCCTGGGTGGCTCAGCGTCTGCCTTTGGCTCAGGTCATGATCCCCGGGCCCTGGGATCAAGCCCCAAGTCCAACCCTCTGCTTGGTGGGGAGCTTGCTTCTCCCTCTCCCTCTGTCTGCTGCTCCCCCGGCTTGTACTCTCTCTCTCTAATAAAAAAAAATAAAAAATCTTAAAAAAACCCCCACAATGTAGAATAAATAAAACTTCTTAACTGCTACTGGTTGTATTTTGTTTTGTTTTTCTCTTTCCTTTAGCCAAGCCTAGTTTTATAATCCAGCCCCAGGACACAGAGGTTTTAATTGGCACCAGCACAACTTTGGAATGTATGGCCACAGGCCACCCACACCCCCATGTTACTTGGACTAGGGGCAGTGGAGAGGCCCTGGATGGATCCAGGCACCTGGCTACTTCTGGAGGACTATACTTGCAGAATGTCACCCTGCAGGATCATGGTCAATTTACCTGTCATGCCGACAATAATGAAGGCTCTGTTCAAGCTACAGCAAACATAATTGTACAAGGTATGGGAGCAAGGGGTCATGATTGAAATGTTCATGCTGCCACATTCAGAAAATTATTTTTCAACCTAAAAAAAATAATGTCATGTAAATCAGTGAAGAGATTTTTGTATTTGCCATTTATTTTTGACATAATAGAATTTTCAAAACTAATCTGCTTCATATTAAAACTTGGATTTTTTTTCACTTCAGTCTTTATCCAGATGTTATAATCAACCATTAGCAACAAAAGAGATGAAGTCATTTGGCAGCAAACTGTCAAAAGATATTTGTGCTTCAGGATACTTCACAGATGTAGGAAAGACACTTCAGATATGAAAGTGAAAATGCTGTGCCCGATGTTCATAATCACTTACCAAGCTGCCTACTGACATAGCTTAGAACTATGCTGATGGCTCTTATGGGCCTGGGATGGGTAACAAAAGCAGTAATAAAACGATTCTGAACACTATAAATAATATATATGCATGGGCATGTAATCCTGTTGTAAAGAACTCATGTTTTTCTGCTCTGCTTTTGTTCTGAACTGGGCTGCCTTTCCCTGTCTGTTGTGGTGGTTGTGTGTGTGGGTTTAGGTGCATGTGCATGTGTGAGCACAGATACTCAACACTCCTTGTGGGCTAAGAGGTTTAGTTTTTTTTTTTAATTATATTATGTTAATCACCATACATTACGTCATTAGTTTTTGCCGTAGTGTTCCATGATTCATTATTTGTGTATAACACCCAGTGCTCCATGCAGAACATGCCCGCTTTAATACCCATCACCAGGCTAACCCATCCTCCCAACGTCCACCCCTCTAGAACCCTCAGTTTTTCAGAGTACATCATCTCTCATGGTTCATTTCCCCTCCGATTTCCCCCCCTGCTATCTCCTTCTTCTTCTTCTTCTTTTTTAAACATATAATGTATTATTTGTTTCAGAGGTACAGATCTGTGATTGAACAGTCTTGCATGATTCATAGAGCTCACCATAGCACATACCCTCCCTAATGTCTATCACCCACCACCCCATCCCTCCCACCTCCCACCACTCCAGCAACCCTCAGTTTGTTTCCTGAGTTAAGAATTCCTCATATCAGTGAGGTCATATGATACATGTCTTTCTCTGATTGACTTATTTCGCTCAGCATAACACTCTCCAGTTCCAGCCACGTCATTGCAAATGGCAAGATTTCATTCCTTTTGATGACTGCATAATATTCCATTGTATATATATATATATATACCACATCTTCTTTATCCATTCATCTGTTGATGGACATCTTGGCTCTTTACACAGTTTGGCTATTGTGGACATTGCTGCTGTAAACATCAGGGTGCACGTGCCCCTTTGGATCCCTACATTTGTATCTTTGGGGTAAATACCCAGTAGTGCAATTGCTGGATCATATGGTAGCTCTATTTTCAACTTCTTGAAGAACCTCCATACTGTTTTCCAGAGTGGCTGCACCAGTTTGCATTCCCACCAACAGTGTAGGAGGATTCCCCTTTCTCCACATCCCCGCCAACATCTGTCGTTTCCTGACTTGTTAATTTTAGCCATTCTGACTGGTGTGAGGTGATATCTCATTGAGGTTCTGATTTGGATTTCCCTAATGCCAAGCAATGTTGAACACTTTTTCATGTGTCTGTTGGCCATTTGGATGTCTTCTTTGGAAAAGTGTCTGTTCATGTCTTCTGACCATTTCTTGATTGGATCATTTGTTCTTTGGGTGTTGAGTTTGATAAGTTCTTTATAGATTTTGGATACTAGTCCTTTATCTGATATGTCATTTGCAAATATCTTCTCCCGTTCTGTCGGTTGTCTTTTGGTTTAGTTGACTGTTTCTTTTGCTGTGCAAAAGCTTTTTATCTTGATGAAGTCCCAATAGCTCATTTTTGCCCTTGCTTTCCTTGCCTTTGGTGATGTTTCTAGGAAGAAGTTGCTGCAGCTGAGGTCAAAGAGGTTGCTGCCTGTGTTCTCCTTTAGGATTTTGATAGACTCCTGTCTCACATTTAGGTCTTTCAACTATTTTGAGTCTATTTTTGTGTGTGGTGTAAGGAAATGGTCCAGTTTCATTCTTCTGCATGTGGCTGTCCAATTTTCCCAATACCCTTTGTTGAAGAGACTGTCTTTTTTTCACTGGACTTTCTTTCCTGCTTTGTTGAAGATTAGTTGACCATAAAGTTGAGGTTCCATTTCTGGGCTCTCTATTCTGTTTCATTGATCTATGTGTCTGTTTTTTGCCAGTACCATACTGTCTTGATGATGACAGCTTTGTAATAGAGTTTGAAGTCCAGAATTGTGATGCCGCCAGCTTTTCTTTTCTTTTTCAACATTCCTCTGGCTATTTGGGGTCTTTTCTGGTTCCATACAAATTTTAGGATTATTTGTTCCATTTCTTTGAAAAAAGTGGATGGTATTTTGATGGGGATTGCATTGAATGTGTAGATTTCTCTAGGTAGCATTGACTTCTTCACAATATTTGTTTATCCAATCCATGAGCGTGGAACGTTTTTCCATTTCTTTGTGCCTTTCTCAATTTCTTTCATGAGTATTTTATAGTTTCCTGAGTACAGATTCTTTGCCTCTTTGGTTAGATTTATTCCTAGGTATCTTATGGTTTTGGGTGCAATTGTAAATGGGATCAACTCCTTAATTTCTCTTTCTTCTGTCTTGTTGTTAGTGTATAGGAATGCCACTGATTTCTGTACATTGATTTTATATCCTGCCACTTTATTGAATTCCTCTATGAGTTCTAGCAGTTTTGGGGTGGAGTCTTTTGGGTTTTCCACATAAAGTATCATATCATCTGCAAAGAGTGAGAGTTTGACTTCTTTACTGATTCGGATGCCTTTTATTTCTTTTTGTTTTCTTATTACTGTGGCTAGGACATTTAATACTATGTTGAATAACAGTGGTGATAGTGCACATCCCTGCCGTGTTCCCACATTGAGAATGATATTCGTTATGGGTTTTTCCTAGATGGCTTTTATGATATTGAGGTATGTACCCTCTATCCCTATACTCTGAAGAGTTTTGATCAAGAAAGGATGCTGTACTTTTCAAAAGTTTTTTGATTTGCTGATGTTGAACCAACCTTGCATCCCAGGGATAAATCCCACTTGGTCATGGTGAATAATCCTTTCAATGTACTGTTGGATCCTATTGGCTAGTATTTTGGTCAGAATTTTTGCATTCATTTTCATCAGGGATATTGGTCTGTAATTCTCCTTTTTGATGGGGTCTTTGTCTGGTTTGGGGATCAAGGTAATGCTGGCCTCATAAAACAAGTTTGGAAGTTCTCCTTACATTTCTATTTTTTGGAACAGTTTCAGAGTAGGTATTAATTCTTCTTGAAATGTTTGGTAGAATTCCCCTGGGAAGCCATCTGGCCCTAGGCTTTTGTTTGTTGGGAGATTTTTGATGACTGCTTCATTGTCCTTAGTGGTTATAGGTCTGTTCAGGTTTTCCATTTCTTCCTGGTTCAGTTTTGCTTGTTGATACATCTTTAGGAATGCATCCATTTCTTCCAGGTTATCTAATTTGCTGGCATAGAGTTGCTCATAATATGTTCTTATAATTGTTTGTATTTCTTTGGTGCTGGTTGTGATCTCTCCTCTTTTATTCATGATTTTGTTGATTTGGGTCATTTCTCTTTTCTTTTTGATAAGCCTGGCCAGGGGTTTATCAATCTTGTTAATTCTTTCAAAAAAACAGCTCCTAGTTTCATTGATTTGTTCTACTGTTCTTTTGGTTTCTATTTCATTGATTTCTGCTCTGATCTTTTTTATTTCTCTTTTCCTGTTGGGTTTAAGTTTGTTTGCTGTTCTTTCTCTAGTTCCTTTAGGTGTAGGGTTAGGTTGTGTACTTGAGACCTTTCTTGTTTCTTGAGAAAGGCTTGTATTGCTATATACTTTCCTCTTAGGACTGCCTTTGCTGCATCCCAAAGATTTTGAACAGTTGTGTTTTCATTTTCATTTCTTTCCATGATTTTTTTTAAGTGTTCTGTAATTTCCTGGTTGAACCATTCATTCTTTAGTAGGATGCTCTTTAGCGTCCATGTATTTGAAATCTTTCTAATGTACCTGTTGTGATTGAGTTCTAGTTTCAAAGCATTGTGGTCTGAAAATATGCAGGGAATGATTCCAATCTTTTGGTACCAGTTGAGACCTGATTTGTGACCTAGGATGTGATCTATTCTGGAGAGTGTTCCATGAATTCTTCTACTACTAGAGAAGAATGTGTATTCTGTTGCTTTGTGATGGAATGTTCTGAATAGATCTGTGAAGTCCATTTGGTCCAGTGTGTCATTTAAAGTTTTTATTTCCTTGTTGATCTTTTGCTTAGATGATCTGTCCATTTCATTGAAGGGTGTGTTAAAGTCCCCCACTATTATTGTATTGTTGTTGATGTGTTTCTTTGCTTTTGTTATTAATTGCCTTATATAATGGCTGCTCCCATGTTAGGGACATAGATATTTACAATTGTTAGATCTTCTTGTTGATTAGACCCTTTAAGTAGGATATAGTGTCCTTCCTCATCTCTTATTACAATCCTTGGTTTAAAATCTAATTTGTCTGATATAAGGATTGCCCCCCCCCCCCCAGCTTTCATTTGGTGTCCTTTAGCATGGTAAATGGTTTTCCACCTCTTCACTTTCAATCTGGGGGCATCTTTGAGTCTAAAATGAGTCTCTTGCAGACAGCATATCGATGGGTCTTTTTTTTTTATCCAATCTGATAGCCTGTGTCTTTTGATTGGGGCATTTAGCCCATTTACATTCAGGGTAACTATCGAAAGATATGCATTTAGTGCCATTGTATTGCCTGTAAGGTGACTGTTACTGTATGTTGTCTGTGTTCCTTTCTGTTCTATGTTGCTTTTAGGCTCTCTCTTTGCTTAGAGGATCCCTTTCAATATTTCTTGTAGGGCTAGTTTTGTGTTTGCAAATTCCTTTAGTTTTTGTTTGTCCTGGAAGCTTTTGATCTCTCCTTCTATTTTCAATGAGAGCTTAGCTG